TGAAGGCAATAGTATATTTTATCTTAGTAGATTTAAACTTGTATTTGCATTTATATTTAACTTTTATATCATATTGTAATTTGTATTTGTCAATGCTTCTGAAAAGCCCTGTAAAGGGATAAAGTAATAAAGTATGTATGTATGTATATCTGTACAGATCATTATCTTCTAACAACACTAACGCCATTAGTGAAGGAGCATTTGCAGGACTTGCAAAACTACGGGAATTGTAAGTGACACTAATAATGCGTTGTTGATGGGGTACCTGATTGTCGGTTAACTAATTTCTTTAGTGGTGTCACAACCTTTTATAAATACTGCTTTTGTTTTGATCCACTGAATAATAACTTTCATTGTAACATTTTTTGAAACAGGAATCTCCAAGATAACATTATCAAACAGTGGGAAACAACGTTGATTCACCATGAAGAGCTACCAAATCTCGTCATGTTGAACATTGCACAAAATGTTTATTGGAAGCCAGATCAACAAATTCTGTCTCTACCAAACTTAACGACTATCGATTTATTATTAATGCACAAGCCAAAGGGTTATCACTGGCGGCTATTCAAATGCTATCTAGTTAGAAGAAATATCATAAAAACATTAGAAAATACATCTATCTTTGTGGAAACAATTTCACCGTCTATTAAAGAAAACATTCATCCAAATGTCCTATTATTAAGACCGAATGACTGTTGGCAGAATAAGCTCTTTTTCCGTGATGTCAGCTACTGGAATATCATCGATGAAAGTGGCTTTTATTTTCATTGCAGGAGGCTTGAACCTTATCGCGTAGCTATAGAATCAACCCTAAACGTMATTTTTCTCATATAAAGGAACAAAACTCATGGTATTTCGTTAGAAATTTAGAAACATCGTATTGCTGGAACGCGATTGGACGAATTCATATCATGACTTTGGTAGAAGGGATTTTTGCTTTGGTTTTAAATCTGTTTGTTATTATGACAACTTTAAGAAGCAGAGTTCTGCGAGAGTCTGTACCGCATGTTCTTGTGGCTAATATTGCTGTAGGAGACCTTTTCATCAGCATTTATATGATCATTATTGCCTGGACAAGACAAATCATGGATGCTACTCAATACTCTGCTTTCACACAGTACTGCAAAGTCGTTGGTCTTTTCTTCCTTGTTGGACAAATTTCAAGCCCTTTAATGTCGTTCATAATGACATTAGAAAGGTACTTAGCTGTTGTATACTGCATGAGACCACACATCAGAATCACTAAGGGAATGTGTTGTATTGCCATGGTAATTGTCTGGGGTTTGTCAATTTCACTGGCGGTCAGTTTCATGATTTCCCCGAAATTCTCGAATAAAACAGACAGCATGTGCATCCCGTTACAAAACACTAACAATATAGATGTACTTAAATATGTTGGAGGTATTGGAGTCGTGCTGTATATCCTTGCAATGTCCTTATATGCTTATTTGGATTTGGATTTCCGAAAGACTAACCAGAAGACCGTACAACTACAAAGAGAAAACCGCGTAGCACGTAGGATTGCACTCATTATGTTCACTAATGTTCTATTTTTTATTCTTCCTTTAGTCTTAATTGTAATTGTCACAAGTCTTAGGGACAACATACTGTACGTCAATGGATCTCTCAAGGATTCTGGTCTTCGAGTCTCGATTTTCAAAACGAGTCTCGATTTTCAAAACGTGTCTCGATTTCCATGAACGAGTCTCGATCTCTAACGACATGTCTCGATTCCCAAGAACGAGTCTCGATT